GTCCTTTGACACGCCAGCTTGCGTTTTAAAGGAATTAATACACTTTGCCGCCCAGCGCTGTTACCTTTTACCTTATTGCCCTGTCGTTTGCCTTTGTTGGAGTTGACCTGGCCCCGCTGCGTACGGCGAGCATATGGAGTGCATGTTCCCAAAAAGAACACCTATTACAAATGGACTGTACAAAATTATATGAAAGTTGAAAAAGTGATTGCTTAAAAGTTAAATACAATTTATTCTTCGAAAGCTTTTGGTTTGACCCAAAAATTAAAAAGAAACGTTAAGTTTCATTAATGAAATGTTTGTTTCGGCATTTTTTTAAGGCTCACTATTTTTGGAAAGTAGTATATACCTATAAATAGTTCAATAAACCAAAGATATATCGGTTTTGTGGCTTTAGTTTTCACGTGAAAAGAAGGTCTTCAAGAGCAATGACATAAAAAAAGCTTTAAATCATTTAAATATTTAAAACTCACATTTTTTTTGTAGTGAACAATAAACTATAGTAAATGAATAGTTTATTAAAATTTTAGATAGCATTTTGTTTCTGTGTGTCAGAGTTTTTATTCCCATCGTTCGTGTTGCCTTTGTGCTCAACGATTTGGTTGTGGAACGTGCGAATTTAATTGCATAATTTCAGATTTATTTTTTATTCAACTGCTGAAAAAACCCCTGCCCCCTGCCCCCTGACCCCTTTCCCCTTGTTATCGTCACTTGGCCGCTGGCTGTTCCTTAATGGGCGAGAACAAAACCGTTAGCTACTTGCCATAATAACGGGTTACGGGCGAGTCAATAAAAATAAAAATGAATTTGCAAATTGTGCGCATTTAATGAGTTTCACATGTGCGTTTTTAATTAATAACAAAGCATGCTCACCCACACCCCCAGAATATTGGAACATTGAAACATAGACCCATACACACACACACTCATACACACACAGGAAACGATGGCGTTGGTTTATTAAAATAATTTCCCCGGGTGATTCTGCAGTGCATTTGCATTTGCTGTACACTTGTATTAGTATTTGTTGTTTTATTTGTATTTGTACGTAGAGGGAATGGCCGTCGGAAGCCAAATATTCCGCTAAACTAATGCCGACCGCAGTATTCACATGCCAATATTGGATTACTCGGGCTAATTAGGCGTCAACTGAATTTCCAATATCGGTTAATTCCATTTGAACGCCCCTCCTGCCAAAGGAATTTCCCTAATTTTTAGCACCCCGCAGGGCCTCGGAAATCAAAACAAATTTAATCATGTTAATATAATTACTAAAAATTAAGCCATAATCAACACACACACACTGGGGAGCCGTGGCAAACACCTGCCAGCTAACGGTAAATGGCAAACAACAAACGTCAGCTGGTTAAGGTTCCTGTTTCCTGACTCCTGGGTAACTGAGAACTGCGAGAAACATAACACCAAAACGACCCAAATTATTTTTAATTCCCCGCAGGATAAGCGCGAATGAAATGAGCAGCCTGCCTGCGACTCCAGAGGCCTTTGCCTTTGCCTTTGCCAGTTGCTTGCCTTGACTGCAATTTATCCTGCGTGCTGCGCATATTAACGAAATGATTATGGAATTCATAATTACGCACACACCATGTTGGTCCCAGTGTGTATTGTAAAATGCGTCAACACATTTGCCAGCCGCCGGCTGGCTGTGTCGAGAATCCCGCAGGAGCCGAGGTCGTCAGACAATGGGTCTGAGTTCTCAACTCTCCATGTCCTTTGACGACGGCCCACATGGCGCATACACAATTTCAACTGCCATCCTCCTGGCTGCTCAAATATTTGACGCATACACCATACGCCATACAGCATACAGCATACGGCATCCAGGACACAGCGCGTGATTAAATTAAATGCCGGGGCCAGTTCGATTCGACACAACTAATTAAAAACGCCCAACAATGCGACGTGACCGGGACCGTGAAAGGAATTCGTTGTGGCCCAAAATTTGATTCGATTGCGTATCGAGGTCATTGGCCCATCTGACCAATGTCCAAATATGTGTCTGCGTAATGAACTGCTCTGGCCGCATAATGCGATTATTGTCCCTGGCATATCTGGGCTGAATGGTGCTCTCTCTGGCCCGGATAATTCAATAAATTGCAATTCCATGCTGTTAACCCGCCCCCCGGGTATTTAGATGCCAAATCAAATGCACTTAACTAAACTAAATGCGGCCGCCGTTCTCAATTCTCGATTCGCAGTTCTCGGTTCTCGGTTCTGGGTTACCCCACCCGCTGCGCCTCAAAGTAGGCAACGATTTGCTCGCAGCATAAATTTCGCTTGAGTGGAAAAGGGAAATTGTTAAAAGGGACCCCAGGATCGGGATGGAAAACGATTTTCCTCCCGAACTGAAAACTTTTTTAAGTTAATTGAAATTCAACTCTGGCAGTCGGGGTACGGACAACGCAAATACCACTCACAAGGATACAGAATAGACCAGATACCTCCGCCCAATATGCCCACAGTCCCCAAAAAGGAAAAAAAAACTATATAAAAAGGTTTCAACTTTAGTTTTCGTTTGATCAGAACTGGGATTGCTGCTGCCCATTCGTGGGCAGGATATTTATGTCCATGCGTAGGCCTCGAAGGGCGGCTGCGGATGCGGATGGACTTGTTGAATGGCCCACGAATATGTTGCCACCGCCACCCAGAATCTTCTGTTTCGAGCCACCTCCATGCCGGGAAACAGTTTAGTCAGTGCCTGGCAATGTGCTTAAGTCTCATTTATTTTTCATAGCCTGGCCTATAAAAATTGTAATTTCATTACCACCGACAGGCGGTTACTTCGAAGGTGAGTTCTCGGAAATGGGAATGGGAATGGGTATGGGGAAGGGGGAAGGGACTTTGGTCTTGGGTAGCAAGTGCAAAAATTGAAACACACTTGAAAAATGAAGGTGCCCGGATACACAACCGCAACCAAACGCCAAAGGTGCCCCAACTCTCACTTGCCTCTGCTGGTGCCGTGTCTGCCGACTATGGCCTTTTTATGAATTTTTAAAAATGTTGCTGTTTTGGCGGCTGCCGGCGCTGATTTCGCAGTCATGGGCATCCGTGTGGCCACAGGATTCAGGACTTGGAACCCAAATGCCCGGCCACTTGTTAGCCATTTTACGTGGCCACAACCACACACACACACATACATACAGAATCGCTGTCGGATTGCGAGTGGGTGAGTATGTGGCCAGGGTACTTAACTTAAATGGCATATACACTCCTTCACTGGGCCCCGAGCCAGTCGACATCAATTTAAATTGAATTTTCACTTACCTGAGGATGAGAATAAGGACGAAGGCTTCTCGGACTTTCGTATGCAGCCCAGACACCCGGCAATTTACGTCCTGAATTAGTCTAATGTAAAATTTAAACCTAAACTTGGGCATATCCTTTTCAGTTTCGGTTGCTCATCTGCTTCGTTATTCTTTCCGTTCTTTGGCCACTGAACGGGGTTGAGTTCTTAATTGATTAGGCCCGACATTTAATTAGCAACGAATATTTCTGTGCCATTGCGGCTTGGCTTTTGAGCACATTCATAATGCTTTGATGGCTCGTCCGCGTCCCGCTTCAATGTCACCAATTATGCTAATTAAAGGTGCCTTCAGCGGAGGTGGAAAGCCCGAGTTCAACAATGCGCGCAAAATGTCTCCGTTTATGACCCAGGGTTTTTTGGAGGTGGTTAGGTGGCCTTTTGGTTGGGTGGTCAAGGGTTGGGTGGGTCCTGCCAAAAGCCAGGTGGCTGGTGCTCGGTGTCTGGGGTTGCTGGTGGCTATTTTTAAACGGCAAATTGACAGGCTCAAAAGGACCAAGGCTTAAAAAAGGGCTAACTAACTGGGCGGGGTCGGGTCAATTGACAGGCGAGGCGTAATTATCAAAATATGTAGAAAATGGTGCCTGGGCCGGTGGGTTTGAAGACTTCAAGGCTTCTGGGCCTTGTGCCTTCTGGAATTGACAAATTAACATAAGAATGGTTAGCCAAGTGAGCAGCGGAATGAAGGCAGGAAGAAGGATAACGTTTAAGGCAAGAAGGCGGGACAAATCCCAATTTGCCGCATATCTTAAGCCTTCGAGCGGTAACGAACCTGTTGATGAATCAAACTCGAAATTCAAATTTAAGACCTGGCACGGGCGTGGCCTTGCACAATGTCTGCGTCAGCTTAACGCTTGCTGCACTAATTCAATTAAATATTTGTCTTTGTAGTTTTGTGTCTCCCAGCAAGATGAGGGGGAATATGACGATGCCGATGACGACGACGACGACGAGGACTAGGACCAGAAAGCAGAACCAAGACCCAGACCAAGACCAGGCCCAAAACCCAAAGCCTAGAAGACAAAGAAAAAGCCAAGGCTGCCGGCTGCCGGCTCAGGATAGACAGCTCTCGCCCCTCTCCTTGGGATAATGCAAATATTGTCGAGAGCGCGGAGTGGAGCGGAGCTTTCGCTCGAAAAGTGAGAGCAGCCCATGGCGGCTGGAAGGAATGAATTTATTGCTTTTGGGAATTTTTCACTTGATGGCATTTAATGCGATTTAGTATTTAAATGAAGAACGAGATGGAACTGGAGTTTGGGCCATGGTCGTGGGACAACAAAGACGATAAACCCATTCGGGCGCATTAAATTAATCTCGAGTCGAGGCAGCAGCACATCTTAATATATTGGGCCACGATAATCCGGATTCCGATTTTGCATGCATTTGGGGATAGAAGGGAAGAAAATCTATTCCTCCATTGATGATTTTCCCCGAGTTTCCGCTGATTGAAAATCACATCGGTCACACACGAATGCAGTGACCGACTGACAGGGCAATCTAAAATGTTTTGCTGGCTGCACAAGGGCAGCTCCTCCGATTACTGCAACAATGCCATTTCAGTATCAGTTTTGGGTTTCGTTTCCATTTCCATTTCTATTTCTATTTCCATTTCGATTTCGATTGCAGTTTCAGTTTCAGTTTCAGTTTCTGTTCGATTGCAAGCTGAAAATCCCCGCACTGATTTAGTGTGTAAATATAGCCGTAATTGGCTATTGTTTTGTTTTATTTTTTTGCTGTGATTTTTTTTATTTTTATCGGATAGTGTAGCATGACAATATGTTAGTTGAATAAATAAATAAATAATTGGTGTGTCGTAAAAAGTGTAAAGTGCATAAATCTAGTTGCCTGGCAGGCGGGCAATGTCCTAATTAGGTGTGGAATATGCGTACAAATATTTTGATACGAGTATAAACGGTAACTGTTCTATTTGGTTAACAAAATAAGCCAAGCAGCCAATTGGCCGTTGCATAATTCAATTATAGAGCCTGCAAATGCATTAATGCTAATGCAAAATGCAGCAAATATAATTGACTTTCCATAATTTCACCGCTCGGCTGGGCCAGCGAATAAATATTAAAATTAACTTAAACTCGCTACCCGTCACATAAACGAAACTAGAGAAAATTATGCACGAATTATGCTAATTGCGTATAATCAAAATAAAGTGAAACGAAATATGTCTAAATTGAACCGCCACCAAGTAAAGAATAAATAATTGATAACATTATGAGTTATGTGTTCTAACATTTTGCATAATCGGACGAGGTCGAAAGATTTTTAACTTTGTTGCGGGGAAGAGAAAAAACTTTCAAGGAGAGTACCTATGGCTAATCGGGGCGCCTTAACACTACTATTTAACATTTGTTCGCTTATTAAGTTGTTCATAGAACTTACTTTTGATATATCATAGATATATGGTTCCTAAAATTACCTCGACACCTTCATGCTGCCAGCGAAGGATGCTCTGGTCAGGTAAGTCCTTCACTTGTGGCTGTTTTTCTTGAGAGTTCTGGATGCTGCGACCTTTAAGCCAATTTCGCCTCGGACTACTAATGGCGGTCCAGATCCAGATGACACTCCAGCCACAGGACCACATCCTGATGAGTCATCATCCTTCGCATGGACAGGCAGCAGTTGAATAAAGATGTCACCAGTAAGTCAAACATGCGCAGATGCAGCCGAATGACCAGCTGCAGCGCGGGATCAGAGTTAGATCTACGATCGATTGCGGTGAAACTGGGGGGTCACTTAAAACCCTGCCATGACGAACTTACCTTCGCCAGCGGACAACGGTTTGATCTTAACCTAAGGCCAAACTTAATCGATGCACGAACTTACCTTCGTGCCTAACAAGATTGTGAGTGGGTATGTACAAGGACTGGAACTAGAACTCGCTAGGCCCACAAGGCTAGTCGAGAATAGTCAGCGGATTGGATCGGATCGGAGTGGATCGGAACAGGTGGGTCGGTCAGGTGTACCACTTACAACTAGCAATAAATAACTGGCTAACAACAGATATTACTGGCTGTAGGGATGACAGAACTGGTAGACCAGCCTCTGCGACCTCTCCGTCTTCTTCATGATTCCCTTCTTGTAGTACTGCCGGATGGAGCGGGACAACTTGTCGTAGTTCATTGCCGGTCGGTTCTTACGGCGACCCCACAACTTGGCCACTCGCACCGAGTCCTCAATCTTGAAGATGCCCTTGCTGCGGTCAATCCACCGAATGGCCGTTCCGTTCACCTGCGGCGAGGCCAGCAACTCCTTGAGGAACTGCCACAGGTGGATGTGAGAGCCACCACCACCGGTCCTTCCTCCGTTTGGCCGTTTTGCAGTAGCTGTTCCGCCGTTAGAAGGCGTGACTGCAGGTGATGAAGTAGAGCTCTTGGTCAGTGGAGTGATTACTGGTTCTGGCTCCATGTCCTCGTCATCTATTGGGAGGAAGGGAGAATAACTAGTTAGTCAATCTTTTCTAAGTTTTAACTGTAAGAATCTATTGCATGATGTTATTATTGTTTATAAAATGAAAAATAAAATCTTTTTATAACTAAGCAAAAAGAGGCTTTATCATTTGGGAAAGACGAATAGTTCTTAAAAGACCATTTCAAATGCTTTTCTAGCCATCAAACTCACCTTCGCTGTCCTCGTTGTAGTCCAGGTCCAAATTGGGCATCGCATAGCTGGCTGGCCAGAGATCAGCACCCGCAGTCTGCTGTGAATGCGGCTGATGAACGGGCTGGTCGGCATAGGCCATCTTCCAAATCTCCAACTGGGCGTGCAGCGTGCTCCCGCTCTGAAAAGAAAGCCGAAAGTGAGACATTTCGAATGGGAACAGAGCCTTAATCCTTGGCCAGATCGCAATCTAGACGGCATATCAATTGGAAATTCTTAAGCTATCCAAGTGCATAAATTATGTGCAGTCTCCATGGTCCAAAAGCTATATTGCAAGTAGTGGTAGTTGTAGAAGAAGAAGTAGTGGTAGCAACAACAACCAGAGACAACGGCAACGACGACTTACTTTCACCTTGCAATGTCGTTGCTGGTCGTTGGCTCAGTTCGAGTGCTGCCAGTCCCGCTCCTACTGCTCCAGCTCCCCCTCTTTTCCACCCCCCTGACTCGGCCAGTCATCCGAGCTGCGACGATGGCTCGTAATCATCCGTCCAAGTGCTGCAGTTTCACCAAACAACCTTCACACATTCTTTCACCTTTACAGCCATGACCACGGTTACTAATTTTGTTTCTTTTGGCGACTGATGACTGCTCTCCGATTTCGTTGTCGTTGTTGTTGTCGTTGTCGCTGGCGTTCACGTTCGCGTTCGTTGCCTAAGTCTTTTGTTTTCTGGATTTTTGCTGCACTCTTTGCGGTAGCCAAAGCAAAGGCAGCACCTAACGAGCATAGGCGAATGTAATCATTGATATATTTTTGGCAAAACTCTCGACGAGAGCACATGTTCGGTTGGATGGGATGTGGAGTAGTTTTAGATGCCCATGCCGCTGCTGATGCCGATGCCGCCAGCTCTGCCTAATTGCTGGCAACAGGTTTCAAGTTTTTGAGGACTGAGCTTTGGCTTTAAGTTTTGCGTTTTGCTTTCTGATTTCTGATTCCGAATGGGCCTGTAAGCCGCTCTGGCTGCCAGCCATGACGTCAACACCAGTTACGAAACTTGTTTCGTTTTAGTTTTCGTATCGTATCGTTTCGTTTTGTTTTGCTCTTTGTTGTCTTTTAGCCATTTCCATTCCATTTCGACCCGTACGCGAATTTCAATTCAATCGCATTGATTGGGCCTCTCCGCATATTGGCTCTTTGCTATTGCCATTGCTATTGGCATTTGCATTGTGTTATTGTTTTATATGCCATGGGCTATTGGCCCGTTGCTTTGTGCTGATCGATTTTGTAATATGCCCAGCAATTTTTGGCACTTGCCCAGTTAAGTCATACCTGCGTCTTTGACTCACACTTCTTATGGTCTCGACTGTATATTTCCACCTAATTCCTAACCATTGGTCTAGGCGTCATTGAAGTTTCTTACTTTGGGTTTTCTTAATTTGTTCGCGGAATTTCGGATTTCAACATAACTTGTGTCAAGTCAAACAGAACGATTTTTATGTGTCATCTTTTTTCAAAATATGACGAAATGAGTTGTTCAATATTTTAATTATTTTTTATAATTAAATTAGCATCTTACAAATTTGCATTTACGTATTTTTCCAATTCGATAATTTGAAAACCCGTTGCCAGAGATAAGATCTCAAAACTCTCTAATGTACATTTTGCTAATAAAATGGCTTTTAATATTTGATGTATCTAGTAGCTCCCATTAAATCAAACCAGTTCACACAGTATATCTATAAAGCTAAAAATACATTCCTTCGTTTACCCAATTATTGGTAGCTGGCTTAAAAAAAAACTGTACCTAAAGTCAAGAAAGCTCAGTGGAAGCAGTAAAATGGAATTTCAAGACTTCTGCAAGACAACTTAAATGGAAATCCCTAGAGATTTCTGTGACACCTTTCGGATAAAAGGCATGATTGACTGCTGGACTCACCTCTGGTAGTCGGCGCACGAATTCCTCCTCGCTGAGTAATGTCAGAGCAGAGCCATCTTCGCAGAAGTGCAGCTCCAAGTCGGCCACCGGCGGCAATCTGAACTGGGCCAAGGTGGATCGTAGCCATGCGTGTACTTGGGCGGGCGACCAGCCATTTGGATCTGCAGAATCATACAGATTATATTAATCTGATCAAGATAGATATATAAAAGTAATCCCAACTCACCCTGCGATATTTGCAGCTCCGCGCAAATGGCGTCCGCCTCTCGTTTGGCATGTTCTAAGGCCAGTGAAATCACGGGCTCAAAGTCTCCGCGCACTTCGGCCAAGCCACCGATGAAGGATTCCAGAGCCAATGGCTTTAGGTTGTGTCTCTTCTGGAAGCTGGTGTCCTCGAGGCACTCTCGCAGGAGCTGATGGTCCGGCTTGGTGTCCTGGAGATTCTGAGGACTTTGTAGACTCTGCTGCTGGAGCAGAGTGTTCAGATCGATGAGGCTCTCAATGTCTGCATCCAAGGGCTCTGCCTTGATGCTCTCCCCGCAGGAGGATCTAGGCGAGGGGGTTTCACAGTTGGATTCCGGTGGAGAGGGGGGCAAGATGTGCAGCTCCTGTTTGATGCTCACCGCCTCCAGGGAAGGCGATGGGCTGTTTAGGCTGTCGTAGCTACCGCCAAATCTGCCAAATCCGTAGGCTGCAAACTCCGACTGAAGCGGACTGGATTGCGGCGAAGGGTAGGCACTGTGGGGGTAGGCAGGCGGCGGGATCAACTGGTGACTGGATGGGGTGGGATAGGTAGTCGTGGGTAGTTGCTGCTGTAGGGGCTGGCTCTCCCAGGCGCACTCGACCTTGATCTGGGGGGCGTTGTACTGGAAGACGGTGGTGGGAATAGGTGCTGTTTCCTGCGGCAGCAGCGACAGGTCAAAGTTGTCCGCATAGGCAGAGTACTGATCCGGCGGCGTCTGGGCCTGGAACTGATGTGGCTTTAGTTGCGGACTGTGAGGCATCTGTGGAGAAAGAAAGAAAGTGGCTTAGAAGATGAGTGCACAGAAAGAAATTCAATTGACTTAAATTTTTTTTTAAAGAAGAAGTATTTTTAAGATCTTTGGCATGACTTAAGATATTTCAACTTTTTAAATCAGCTTTGTATTTTCCTATTCTTGCCTTGGTTTTTCTTATACCAACTTTTTAACTTTAATCTTTTTAAAACTTTTTCACATAATTACGAATTTTTCACAGTGCACATACAAGAATTGGAGTTAATACAAAAAAAGAGGGCCAGGCCATTGGCTGCTAATTGAAAATCAAAACACTGAAGGCGCCATCTTGCCGGGGCCTCACTAATTATCCGTCGATTTGAGATGCCAAATCGCGGCCACCTGTCTTAATTATCACGCCCATGAAAGTTAATTAGTTTTATTTCTCCGCTTCCAGTTGGAATTTGCGTATGTTCGGCCGCCTTTCTAATTCGTACTCGCCGCCGCAGCACCTACCTGACAATGTATGGAAATTTTCGGATCTGATTCGGTTCTGATTGGGTTTGGGGACTGAGCTTAACCTTAGTTATCCACCGATGGCGGGACTCGAATTCGAAGCCGACGAGACAAGAGCAAGAGGCATACTAAGCTCGGAGTGGCATTGATTTTCTCATTTATCAAGTTGCGATTTGCGACTAGTGACGCCACAGAAGGCAGCTGCGAGAAGGAAAAAAACCCAGAGGCCCCAGAAGCCTCCAGAGCCCCCATGGATGATGGACGAAGGGGCGTGTGTGTGTGTTTTTTACGAGCGGCCAAACAATGACTAGATCAAAATCAAAGCGTTCTCTCAGCTCTGGGCTTCACAATACCCGCCGCCCTCCCACAATCCGCTCTCTATCCTAGGATTTTATTTATTTTTCATTTATATATATTTTTTTTTTTATTTATTTACACAGCAGCGTCATAAAAGAAGGCAATGCTAATACGGCCCGAATGCGCTACCAATTTTTACCTCTGAGAAACTGGTTTTTCATTAAGCAACCAGCAATGCAGCGGGCGAGGTGCCTGTGGGGAGCTCGAAAGAGAGGGCGGGAGGTGCATAGTCAATATGGCTATGCGCTGTGCGCTTATTATTAATAAAACAGCTCATACTGGATTTTCCGACTAGTACTTTTCAGCTTTCAGATCTCTGGGGGCGGCGGCGGTGTATTGGGTGTATGGCATTATTATATTGGCTGCGCTCGACGACGCCATAATTCTAACTAGTCACGATGTTATTACAATTTCTGTGTTTTAATTGTTCGACAACGGGGCGTATGAGTGATTTCAGTTCGCTTTTCTCGCCTGCCCGCTAATTGCCAGCGCAAACATTTCGATTTCGCCTTTAGCACTCGTCGATTACCTTGCGTAATCTGCATATTATTAGAGCGATAACCAAACCTAGTGTACTTCACCGGAATCCGAGCTCGGATTGGGTTCAACATCCAAGTACCAAGGAAAACCTAGGACATGATTCAGCAGCTGCAGCCAATGACTCAGTCGAATGGCCATAAAAAAAATGTTGATTGCTTGGCAAAAACTGCATAATAAATTGAGCTACCACAGGCCATTTATGGACCATTAAGGGCCAGCCTGGCTAAAAAAAAAAATGTCAACTAGTTATTATACTTCTGGTCTTGCCATAACAGTTTCTAAAAATGATTGAAAATAAAAACTATGCTCATATTACATTTTATGGCCATTAACTGACCACCTCTCACTACCCTCATAAATTCCTACAAAATATGAAAAAGGCCTTTCGATAACGTATTAGGGGAAGGAAAGACTCTCGAAATAGTATTACAAAATAATGCTAATAAATATTCCCATCTTGGCGACCAATAAAAGCGGACAGAATTTGCATTTTTTGTGCTCAGACTTTGATTTATTCAGCATATCATATTCTCCTACCCTTAGACAAACCCACATCCTCGCAGCTGGGCGAATTAGATCACTCGGGTTATTCCAATATATGGATTTCCTGCTGCTTCGAGGCGAGCGAACAAACACAATAAAGACCTCGGCGATCTGAATCATGTGGTGTACTCGTAAATTTTAATTAAATCTCGTTCTACAAAAACCGAGAAAACAAGCTCAGCTCCGCTCAGCTCAATTCTGACAGAATCGGAGTTCCCAGTGCCGGGGAGAAAGATGCGGACAAAAGGCTTTTTTGTGGCCAAACGCTTTTGGCCGGTAATATTTCATTGGCGTGTCCGACATGGGGCGGCTGTCAATAAACGCTTTTGTTTGGGCCAAGCTGGCGGGGATCGGGGCCCAGAATGGAATATCTCAAATCGCAACATACTATATATATACTCGTTTATATTAGAATATTGATATGTCGACGTACCATTGGCACCCGCAACCATCCACCCAATCCACGTCACAGAATGGTTAATTTCGGTTTGTTTTTCGCTTGTTATCGATCACCAAGCGGTCGGTGTCAAAGGCGGGACATGGAGACAATGAGCCCGGCAGCAATTAGGATTTGGCCAAGTGGCTGTCAGGTATGGATTGTATTTTTAGAAAAACCACAGCGCCATAATAGACACATTTAGCCGGCAATTCTATTTTTAAAAAAATACTTTACAAAGGCACAAAACTGATATGCCATCGAGTGTGGGTGCTGTGGAGTGAAGTGGAGGGAGTGGGGTGAAAGGGAAATATGATAAGTTCTGGGCTTTCCATAGGCACACGAACAGGATACATTAGTAGTACTCAACACACTCGATTCGATGAAAAACTGTTATCGAGGAACACGAACGAACAATGACTAATGCAGCTCAATCGGATATACTGAGAGCCAGCCAGCCGATGGTCAGGAATGCTCACATGTCGACTGACACGCACCGGCACCAAAAGAACTGAATTCCAATTAAATTATAGCAATTTCGAGCAGCTAAAATGCCATAACTTCAAAGCTGACTCATTTCAAACGGGCGGACGAGCAAATAAATCGAATATGCCGAATTTATTAAAATTCCGGCAGGCTGATAAAAATCCATTTTCCAGCAAAAACAAAAGACAAAGCCGTATGGCCAAACAAAAAAGACAAAACAAAATAAGCCAGACCAAGCCAGGCCAAGTTAAATCAAACCAAATAAAATCAGAGCAAAGCTAGGCAGAGCAGAGGCAGCGATGGTGATGTGGAAATCAGATATGAAGACCAAGTTAAAAGCAAACATTTTGCGGCGCTGTCAAAGGCAGTGGCAGTGGCAGATTTGATTTCCCTTTTAGAGCCAGCAAATTGAAAAACCCTTACCCGAATTAGCAACAATAATATTTAAGCAATGTGCCAAAGTGAGTGAGTGAGAAAGAGTGAGTGCGAGAGAGAGTGAGAGCGCTCGGTAATAAATTGAAAATATCCAACTTTTTGGCCGAGGCCACAAAAAAGCAACAGAAAAACAAGTTTTATGATTTTTGTGGCTGGCCAAGTCAAACAAAATAAAATCAAATTCATTAGAACAAGTCGAAGCCACTGTCAAGAATGTGGCATATTTATTTATTTGCCTTGCTCTGAGTGTGCCTGTGTGTGTGTGAGTGTGTGAGTGTTAGCTTGTTGCTTTTTCGCCTAATAATAAAATCAAGTTTACGTTTTAAGACAAAAACGACAAGAGCATTATTATTAAAAGCTGCGATCAGATAGCATTCAGCTTATTGTCGTACGTACTACTACCTACCAGCCACTACCATTCGACATAATAAATGGAACGAATGGCCTGGCCAACGCCTAAGGCCAACTCACGACCGATCTATATAAATCCATTTAACCAGATCTTACACGGGGCGCGCCCAGGCCCATAGACAAAGGAGACCTTGGTTGGCCCCAGAATCAGAAACAGAATCAGAATCGAAATCAGAATAAGTCTCAGTCTCAGAAATGGTATCGAAATCGGGGAATCGAAGTCAGACAAAAGGTTGTTGGAGTGAAGGGTAGGCAAGTAGTCATGTACGGACATTATTAACGTGGCCAATAAAACGGTTGCAACTGCAGCTTTGGAGGCCTTGAGCGCTGACATGCCGCTGAGTTATGGCCAGGTGATATTTAAATTAATTTACATGTATCTTTGAACTAAATAAACAAACTATGCTAATGCCGCACGGTCCTAACCTCAGGTGTTCAGTTCGAGCGCTCAACTGGCGACAATTGTCAGGTAATCTGTTCTAATCGGATTATGGCAATGGAGCTGGCAAAAGCCAAGTCAGACTGACCCCCTCTTACCCTCCCTTAGTCCGATGCGCAAGCGCAAATTGTTTGTTTAATGAATGTTCGCTTTATTCGCGCTCTTAGGGATTGCTATATCCAATATACTACATCTACCATATATACACATGGGTGGTGGTGGCAGAAGGGGGTTATGGCCATGTTGAAGTGCGCTGTCAACAGCATAAGCACAGAAACACAAACATATACAGACATATATATATACAGATACAGATACAGAAAGATAGAGATACTCTGGCAAATCCCCCGGCGATATCCACGTACAATCTACCAGCTCTCGGATGCGTGGGTTAAGCTGTCAAAGAGACAAGACTTATTTCTGCTTATTTTTACATCGCCCGACTGCCTTCTGTTTGTTTCACTCATTATTCTGTATTCCAGTATCTTTATATCTTTGTATCTTTGTATCTCTGGCTTTTGTGTTTGTTTATGCACAGTTTGGTGTTGGTTTTACTGGCTTCGTGACGGGGCAACTCTGTAACTCCATTCTTCGCTATTTGCATTGCATTTAATTGCCGACATTTCATGCTAGATAAATGGCTGCCAGCAAGGTTAATAAATATCTCAAATGGGTGCAACATTTCAATTATGCTGCATTCTTTGCAGCCTGCTTAATATGCCAAGTGTCTGTGCCTTTTGCAGCGACCCAGAATGTTCCGGCTTGTCTCTCTCTATCTTGGATCGTTAGTTCGCTGGGAAACAAACCCAACAACTAACCAAATTAATTAAAGCTGCCCACTCCGAAATGAAGAGCTCAAGATCTCCACTTCTCAGTATGCCGCACATTAACCCGGCTGATAACTATTTGGACACCTTCCTGATGGACAAGCCAGACACACACCCACTCCGTCGCCTGAATGGCACTTATGGCCCGTCCAAGCCGTTGGGCTGGGACCCTGGACTCTGGGCCCATCCCACACACTCTCTCGACAGGAATGGCCAGGAATGCGCCTATGTCTAGGCACTGAACCCTGCAAATCCAATCCCTTCTGCGCTCATTATGCACTGCACGCACTGACAATTATTCCGTATAAAAGACGTTGCGAAGCCAACTCATTTCAATTTGCATAAAAGCCAGGCGAGATTCAATGCTGAAGCCGCAAGACAAGACCCGCAACCACAGGCTGCCGTGGCAATATTTTAGCAGTACACTACAAAAAAAGTTTAATTTACCAACTGGTTATAAAAAAAACAACTTTTAATACAGTTTTAAGTCCCTGCCACAATCTTAAAAAATATTACATATCAAATCATCCAAAGAATGGCTTGGAAAGGAAACCAAGATTTCGCTAAGTGCACTTGCCACAACAATGCCCAAGAAGGGAGCCACACCCAAAAAGTGATTATTATTGTATAATCGGTTTGATTGATAACCAGTCGTTCTGGATAGCATGGTAGAGAATAGAATAGGATAGGATACGATGGGATAGAGTCAGGCCCTTGACTGAACGAACTTAGAAATGCCATTCTCGATGGATTCTCGATTGAAGAAGAAAGGCATGGCGCTGAGGGAAAGAAAACCTGACAAGTTGAAGTATTTATGTCATGTCGAGTTTTCCTCAACTCGTCTCGACTCGGCTTAGTGTGGCTGAGCTGCGAAAGCGGCTTGCATTTATAATTGTTGGCAGTAGTATTTATTTTATTATGTCCATAAATATAATGAGAGATGAGTGTGGCTGCCGCTGGCAGTCTAGCAGTCTTTCAGTCTTTCAGTCTTTCAGTCTTACAGTCTTGCAATCTTGCCGTGCATTTCTAAGCGCTGTTCCAAGCCGTTTGCTTCTGTGTCAGCGATTGGAAAAGCGCGGAGACACATTTCCATCAAATCAATCAAAAATGGTAAATACAAGTTTTTTTTTTCCTCAGCATTTTCTTTTATTGCAATGCTGGCAGCAGCGACAAAACGTCAAAGACTTGCGTACGCCGCCAATGGAGCCTAAGTAGGTCCAACAAAAAGTATCTGCTGGATTGGAATGCACTTTCCGAGTGAAATGCCAGTTCAGGCCGACATGGCAGCTCTTACTTGCGTACGGCGTTTGTGCCACTGTTTGTTGTCATGCCATAGTTGACAATCATTTAGAATCACTTCTTGCAAAATGAAAGCATCTTTTGAAAGTTGCTGCCATCGCTGGTTGTTGGCATTGCCACTAGCATTGCCATTGCTATTGCTATTGCTAGTGCTGATGCTGATGCTGATGCTGTTATTGTAATTAAAGCGAAATGCCATAAGACAAATGCGAAAATGTAACTGGCTGGAATGGGATGGGAGCTACTCTCACCCAGTGACACGCATTCGGTTTCGCGAGATGCCAAGTGCAAGATGCGAGCTGAAAACGTCGAGATACTTTTGCCGCCTACACGAGATGCTCTGCTCTGCTCTACTCTGCTCTGATCTGCTCTGCTAATTAAAAGCGGCTGCTTTCCTGAAGCCAAACTGCGCATAATGTCCCCCAAGCGACAGATATAGATACTGATTCGGGCTCAACTGACCGATGATAATGGCGGGCGAAAGGTTATCAACTATTAGCTATGTAGTTGCCACAGCTACAGCTACAGCTATGTTTTTCCATCTTATACAGATAGAGAGATACAGATACATTGGGTCGACTCGACTTACCTCACTGCCGCCTGGCATGTACAGCATTTTCTCGTACTCCATTTTTTTATGAGCTGCTTGTCTGGTTAATAACAATAATGGTATTTCGCAGATATTTTCTCAGGCTCTAGCTACTGTATCTGTAGCTTTAGCTCTAGCGTAGCTGTATCTCTCGGCATGCAAAAATCGAATCGTCAGATGCGAAAGTCTCTGTGGCTCAGCTCTCTGTTTCGCTGTCTCATTCACACTAGCGGCCAACCGCTTTGGCCGTCTTGCTCTGGCTCTTTCACTTGTTGCTGTTTTGGTTTTGATTTTTGAAATGTTTTTTCTTTTAACTAGATTCACTCAGCGTTTTGTTTCCACTGCCACGGCCTTTGTGTTCATAATGGGCTTATTGAATAGTTTTCGAGTCTTGTTATTGTTTTTGTTTTTATTTTGGTTTTTAAGCCAGTTTGTTGCATTCACTGGACTGGTATTCACTGCATTTCGTTACTAAAATTTCCACTGGCAAACTTGTTGCTCTCTCTTTTTCACTGTGTCTCAACTGGCTGTCTCTGTCTGGCACTTGATTATCTCTTGGTCCGCTGCTCGACCGTTCGCCAAGTCTTCACGCTCGATTCTGTGAGCGGTACGTGCTGCGATCGCTCCGCTTACCTCATGCCAGCGAGCTTTTGAGCCGCCAAACTGGTTGGCAAGCTCTACTCCCAGAGCTTTGCCATTCGGCCATCGGCGCGATATCGATATGGCAAACAAAAGTCCATCAATTCCCAGATTCACGCAGATACCCAGATGAAATTTATTGGCTCGCATAAAGTGACACAGACAACTGGGCCAAATGCAACTGTGATTGAATGGCCCGCAGCCACGCCCACAAACATACAGACGAAAAAAAAAAAAAGGGGAAAAATAAAGAAAACAGTTTCAGGCTAACCAGTCAGCCAGCCAGCCAGCCAACCAACCGAACGTTTGGAATTGTCCTGGCCGATGCACGTCAACGGCATTATCATTTCCGCTTCCGTTGCATAAGACGCGGAGTCGCCGCCGGCTGAAATGTCCTGGAGTTTCAGGCGAAATACAATTTCGTTTGGCATTTATATTTCATTGGACAACGACGACAATTTCACAGTTTTTTGACAACTCATAAAAACAGCGACGCCGTCTGAAGTACAGCTACGATGTTATCCTATTCCACAGACTCCTGCCGGTCAATGACATTGGCCAAGGATAGCGTATAAATGTAATTATTTCCAAATAAAGTCAATAACAATTGCATTGCTAACATATCAATTGCTTGCTCTGTAAATAATAACAAAAAAATAAATAATAAATCGGTTACAATTGTTAAGAATCGAATAACATTTGGATTCACTTTCGTTTCAACCCATCATGTGAATCATTTAAATTGCCCTTCGACGGCAATAAATTCGTTAAAATTGATCTAATTAATTTAAATGCTAATTTCGCCTCAATCCAATTTAAATTTATGCTATCAACACATTGCAAATTGGACTTGTTCAATATGTGGGTTGTAATAAATAAAGAAATGACGAAGTCTTTTGATTAATAATGAATGCATATTGTTGTTAAAAACTAATTAATATGAAAGGGAATTCAATATTTGATTAATACTCCCTTTTGATTCATACCAAATGTGTTATTAAGTCATACTGCCCTCTTTAAGGGTATTCAAATACGAGAAGATTAAGCCAGGATGACTGGCAATATGACTCGTGCCCGGCAGGATCTTCCCAGATGATTCGTACCTTGGCAAATTGTTGGCCTGCCGCCGAGCCGGGTTAAATTGGCTGAGCAGGAAGCGCTGTCGCCTAAAATGAAAGGCATGTCAACAGCAATTGGCACTCAGCAATGCAGGAGGAGATGCTGCTGCGGAGGAGCCGGCTCAGTGTGCTACCCCGAATCCTGCCAAAGGCCATCATTATGCCAGATGCTGGACCCTCCGCGTTTAGGTGCGGACACATCCCAGCCCTCGGCTCCCTGTTGCCAATTCCCGCAAAACTCTCTCTATCTACACAGGACATTTCTTTTTTCGCAATTGAAATATAAAATTGTTATTTTTTAAGTTTATATCGTTGCAGTTTTAAAAGACAATAAAATCAATTTGATGTAGAAAATTTCTATGAAATTAAATGATTTTTCTTGCACAAAAATTGAAAACGAACCCAGCCTTTGAGAAATGCACACCTACTCCGGAATCTTTGGCAACCAAACTAATGTTCAAATCGATTTTCAAGCCAATGCACATCAAACATTTTCTTTTAATATCAGAAAGAAAAGAGAAAGAATTATCTGAAAAGTTAAAGTCCATTAACATCAACGAGAATTTATCTGATTTTTATTTCTGTGTAGAGACAGCGGCAGTATCTGCATCACTGGCAGCGGTGTCCCATGATGGACGGCCGGCTCAAAGGAACGGCGTGCTTAATGGTGAGCTTCAACCGCCGAGAGCCACGGCGGGGCAGCTCCTGATGGGGCAGCATTAACCCACGGCAGCCTCAGCTCCGATGGATTGGCCAGGAAACGTGCTGAAGTGGCAGGACACGCAAAGGCCGCGGCAAACAGCTGTATCAGCCCCTCCGGGCGGACGAGCGTTCAATGGGGAAATGACGCCAGCTCCAAACTGGGACAGCTCCACGGGCCACCTGCTTAGATTGACCGGCTGGGGATCCACTTGACAGCTGGAATAGCCACTGAAGAGCCCTATTATTTCGTAGTATGATGGCAGTCAGGATAACCCTTATGAAAAGTTTTCAATTAAATAATAAAAAAAAGTATTTCAAAGATTTTTAAAGGTATCCAAAGATGTTATAACTAGTTTCTAAATGATAAATTAACTACCAATTAAAAAATAAGCAAGTTTAAATTGACATTTTTAAGTTACCGAAACCTAATCATTTTCAAGTGTGTCATAAGATTAGCTGATCAGAGCCCTAAAGCCACCACAAAGCATCATTTAATCAGCCTGGTGCAAGATAAATCAGCTGCCAATCGGGGACATCTGGACAGGAGGAGGACACTCTGTGGCTGGAGGATAACCAGCGGCTGTCTGTCGATTCGAATTAAGTCCAGTGCTGAGCCCAGAGAGTTGATTCGATTTGCTAGACATCATGTCGTACTCTTATGAGTACCGAGAGAACCGGACTTAATGCGATGGAAGGGGCACAATGTGCATTGCATGGACTACCATTGGGATCTCACACTGATTGGTCCTAAATCAAAGCAAGGATTAATGCGTTAGTCGAACGGCAGCCTGGGGAGGTGGCGATTACCACCCAGTCAGACGTATACAAATAGAGGGCCAGGACCAAACACAGGCACACACAAGCGCACAAAGGACTGCAGACAAAGTCCTGCCAGGAAGTGGGCTAAAACAAGCCTCACACATGGGCGGGGCAAAGACGTGAGGCGTGACAGCGCATGCAGCCGGATGGATGGTCAATGAGACACTTCCGGTGTAGGAGGCCACAGCAAGAGCATTGATGTAAATGAAAGCCGTTTCGCTTAAGCCGAGCACAATGGTCCGTGCGCACTCCGGAAGCACTGCATCCACGATGGGATTGGATGTAGGATGGGAGCTGGCGGACGGGGCAATGGATATGGAAATGGAAAAGACGGGGTGCCCATCGCCTGTCTCGACGGACAGGATCGCTGAGCACACTGTTGCTCGCCTGTTGGACATTCAAGTAGCAGTCCCTTGGGCACTTCTCTCTCTCTCTCTCTCTCTCCAGGGAGCAGTTCAGGCAGTTTAGCTTTTTTCTATTCATTCTCTTAAAAGATAATTAAAAGTTTATTAAAGTTTTTCTATATAAGGAAAGTGTGACTATTTTTAGGTTTTAAATCGGTTGATTAAAAGCAGAAAACATATATTTGATATCTTTTCAAATAATATCAAAATAAATAAAATAATATAATTTAATTTAACAGAAAAACATCACTAATTTCTACAGAGGTCGATGCTGAACTACTCTTCATTAAAAATGTTACTCACCTTTATTTTTTAAAACTCAAACGAAAGGCAAAAAATGTCCACAAAACCAACTTTATATAAAAACCAAATAAAATCATTTTTTTCCAACTTAAATATGTTGTTAATTAAGTGTGTTTTTTTATAGTGTTCCATGTGGACAAAAAGATAATTTTTTGTGGCATCACTAGAGGCGTAGGAATTGTGAAGCGCTTGCAACCAGCAAATCCCAGTTTTGCGGCGGGACTTTGTCTGAATCGAATCAGTGAACGAATCGTTGCGGTGTCAGTTCGCTTGGAAATCCGCTCGAAAGCCATTCACAAATGTAATCCGCTGGCCAGCTTCAATATGCGGGTATGTAAATAATTGCCACCACCGTTAGCGATTTGTCCAATGCCCCAAAGGGCACTTGATGCGATTCCGTGCCGCCCATCGTAATCATCCTGACCGCCTGAATGCCTTACTGCCTGACTGCCTGGGATGCTGGGTAGCTACGGCGAAAGGAAAAGCGACATGTTGAGTGTCAGCTCAATGAGCCGACGCGTTGATTTCAAATAAATAAAAATGTTAATTTTAAAACTGCGCTTCTCCACTGGAAATTACAGTTATTCGCTGTACGTGTTTAATTATTTTTAAATCACGGGTTCACGGGTCGAGTCCTTCGAACTACGGGGACTTACCAAGCAGCGAGACTACGGCTGTTTTTGCAGGCTCATCACGTGCCGATTGTCAGCTATTCGAGAGCATTCGACGCTGGCCCACAACTGTCCACTTAAAGTATTATTTCCGCTGCCGGATCCTTAATTACACGGACTATTTCGTGTGGTTGAATTTGCGTGTTTTGCGGCCTCGTATTATAAATAGTAATTATTACTTCTTTGAGGGCAGACGACGGGCCTCTGCACATGACACAACTTCAATGCATATTAAATAAAGCAAATAATGACTTTAAGGTCCAAGACAAAGAACTTTCGATGGTTTCATTTGCATAACTCCGGCGCAAAATGGAACAAAGTGAAAGGGCGGCGCACACACACACACTCAAATACCATTTATGAGTGAAAAGTCAAAGGTCAGGCCCAGGAAGAGCATGTAACTTTGAGGACTTAAGCCGAAATTTATGATTTCGCACAAACAAACGGACACTTTTAGGCCCACGGGCAAATGCATTTGACGTTATGCAAATGACGAACTCACTGGCCAGTAACCGTAACCGTAAACTGCTGTCCGGCCGGACAGGAGTTGATTAATTTGTTGCAGTCGTCCGTCGTTTTTTGGGGCACTTTCTGTTTGTGTTTTCCTGGCTGCATAATAATGAAGCCTTTTGTCGAATTATGATTCTATTGTCTTTTGCTATTTATTAATTAAACCGAAACGTTTTATTTGAGTTTCCCAAACAGGAAGAGGATAACCAACCCCCCGAAAAATGTCCTGTTTGCTCTGGTGGTTAGCCACCACCCTCTCTCTGTTTGGTCTCTGTCCAATCTCTTTTTGGGGTTACTTTGCCAACATCATCATCATCATCGAATCAATCTCTTCTCGTTTTCAATCAAATAATTAATTGCAAATTTGCGGTTCAGTGCAATCAGTTGCCTTTGACAGTCCCTTCCCCTTACATCTCTACTCTA